ATTCCAGAAACAGTTATCACAGCAACAGGACACTTTCCCTGCTGGAAACATCTATAAGGGAGTTTAAGTCAAGTAAATAGGTTTTGTTTGTTCTTTTTAAAGATAAATCATGGTGTTTGTCTTAATGGTACAGTATTGGTTTGAGATCAGAAGACTGCCTTTAAATCCTGGTTTTTCTACTTAAGGACTGTCATATTCGACAAGTTTCTTAAACTAAGGCTTAATTTTATCACCTGTACAATAGAGATAATTGGAGCAACCCTGCAATGGAGGAATTAGGGACCGTATATAAACTGCTATCAAGAGAATACTCATGAAATAGGAGCTATTGTCATTGTTACTGATTGTAGGACAAAGTAGATCGCTGCAGGTCAGTATTGGGGCTGGAATTACATTGAAACCTTGGGTTGTAGGGAGTGAACAACACAAATAGAAAAAAGCTTCAAAAGAAATTTGTGCCTTTGGCCCTTATTTCCATATCCTTGGAATGACAGAGATCTGCCTGCGTAAAATGGCAGAGATTTGAATTGTAGGTTCTGTAAAGGGAATGGCTGTGTGAAAAGAAGGAGTGGTTGAGAGTTAGGGAGGGAAACTAACATTGACTGATTTCAATGGTTGCATCACCCTTGGATTTAACTTAAGAATTGATTCGAGAGCCTACCCCAGTGCAGATGGATGCCACTGCATCTATCTTGCATGCACGACCCTAGGTGCTATGATATACATTTGTTTTCTCATTTAATTCTCAAAAAGTTCTGAGAGGCAGTTTTTGTAAATCCTACCTCCTGGAGACATTTACCCAGAGCTGGGGTTTGAAGCTAGATCTTTTCTGTAGGATAGGGAGAGATGGTACTGTGGATGACAAACTTACTAACTTTTGTTAATTCAACCAATATTTTGTGTAAACTGTATGCCAGGTACTAATAGATATGTAAGGGAAAATCAAAATGAACAAATGGATTTGATTGCCCTGTAAAACACAGGAGGTTGCTGTTCTTCTAATTCCTACAACAGATTTAGAGGGAGTAGTATGAGTGCTGACTGTCTGACTGTAGAGTTGGACAGTTTTGGGTTGTATCTCAGCTTCTCTACTCCCTAGTTACTATTTGAGCCTCAGTTTTCCCATCTGCAAGATGGAGATAATATAACCTAGTTCATAGTGTGAGGGAATTCAATGCCAGGAGAGAATATGACAGTTTATCTAAAGTGGTTCACTGAAGTCCTAGGCAGCATGATGGAAGACATAGATCTTACACATCCAAGTCGGGGGTAGGTTCCAGCTTCTAAGGTTTTACTTTCTTTTTTGGTGACTCTTATTCTTGAGGAAACATGGAATGGGTAAGTGGAAGAACAATTTTTCAGTGCAGCATCTGGCAAAAGGAAAGCAGATTTTCTCAGGGGATGGTTAAAGCCTTTAGAAAGAGGCTTTCTCTTTTAGAGTATTTAGTAAACTGGAAAGGACAGATGGCGTGGGCAGGAACCTTGTTGGGAACTGCGATATTGTGATTTATAAGAAGTATATATCTGATCATTTAGATGACCAAAATATTTTTCTTACATATATTTGGTCTTCATCCACAGTTCCTGGCTCACTGCTCCCAAAACCCTTGGAATTCCCTTAAGTGTAGAGAGTGATAAAGATGTCTTTTGTTAATAAGGTGACTTTTGGAAAGCATCTAAGGATCCATCCAGCTGGTTGCCAATGGAGCCAACCACGTTTTTAAGAGGGTTGGCACTTTCAGTCCTATCCCGTGACCTCCGGGGAGGGGAGAGGGGCTGGAGGTTGAATCAGTTGTCAATGGCCAGTGATTTAATTGATTGTGTCTATGTAATGAAGCCTCCATAAAAACCCAGAAGAGGGGCGCCTGGGTGGCTCAGTTGGTTAGGCGACTGCTTTCAGCTCGGGTCATGATCCTGGAGTCCCGGCATCGAGTCCCGCATCGGGCTCCCTGCTCAGTGGAGTCTGCTTCTCCCTCTGACCCTACCCCCCTCTCATGCTCGCTCTCTCTCTCAAATAAATAAAATCTTAACAACAACAACCCAGAAGCATTGGGTTCTGAGAGCTTCCAGTTGGTGAATGCCTGGAGATGTGGACAGAGGGGTACACCTGGAGCGGGCACATAAGCTCAGTGTCCTTTCCCCACACCTTGCCCTATCCATCTCTTCCATCTGGCTGTTCCTGAGTGGGGATAGCCTTTTAAAATAAACCAGTGATCTGGTAAGCAAAATGTTTCTTTGAATTCTGTGAGCTGCTCTAGCAAATTAATCACACAGGAGGAGGTCCTGGGAACCTCTGATTTATAGCCAGTCCATCAGAAGTACAGGTAACAACCTCGACTCAAAACTGGTGTCTCAAGTCCAAGGTAGGTCAGAAGCATAGGTAACAACCAGGCTTGTGACTGGCGTTGGAGGGTGAGAGGTGCAGAGCCTTATAGGACTAAACCCTTAACCTGTGGAATTTGATGCTATCTTCAGGTAGATAGTGTCAAAATTGAACTGAATTGTAGGACACCCTGTTGGTGTCCAAGAATTGCTTGGTGTTGTGTGGGAAGCTTTCCTACCCCACTCCCAACCCCCTCCCACACACACTTAGAAATAAGGTCCAGGAACCTAATTTAGAGACGAATACCGACTCTGCATTTTTCTGATTCCAGACATTACCCCTAAGCAAACACCTCATCTTTTTGCTTCTCACCGTCTTTCAGTTTCTTACTGCTAAGCCTAAGGCACTCAAACCAAGCTGCACCTCTGAGGTAATGTCACTTTTCTCCAAAATCACTTCCCTTCTGTGGGACTGGCCTCAGGCTGACTTGGAAGGCTCCAGCAAACCTTTATATATGGCTTTTCAAACACTTGCTGGATGTCTGGGAATAGAAAGGGAAATGGGGAGCTCTGACCCTACAGAAAATCCTAATCAATTAAGGGGGAAAAAGTCTGCTTTCCCATGAGAGCAGCTTGGCACTATGGTAAAGGAGTTAAAAAGGACAGGCTTCCAGCCTATGGCTGGATGATAGGCAGTTTCCCCTGAATGCTTTAACAGGTATTAGAAAGCATAAGATACTCAGAAGAGGGAAAAAGACATTCTCAACAATTTTGAGTAGATTGCAGGCTACAAAGTAGAGCACAGTGTAATTCTGGACCTGCAGGGGTCTGCAGTGAGCCAGGTATTAGCAACACAATGTTTTTAATAAGTGTACTTTACATCTACGAGGAGAAATGGGACAGGCTAGAAAAACAAATTCACAGTTTTCAAAAGGTAAACTGAATGGGGATCCTGAAAGGTGGTGGTGGTGAGAATTTGTACTTCTCAAGCAGCCAGGGGAACCCCTTTATTTTTCAGTCTCTTTGCAAATTAGAAAAAAGCAATAGAAAAGGGGCAGCAGCAGTTCTCAGCTACAATGAGGCATAAGTGGCCTGTAATTCAACCTCCAAAGAACTGGAAGTCCTACTTTTCTGAGCCTCTTTTCATAAAGGTAAAATAAAGCACTGGATCAAATGGCTTTTAAGATCTCTTCCAGATTGGCCCCACCAAGACAAAACTCCCCATTCCTGCGAGGAAAAGTAAGTACAAAATGGCCCCAGGAAGTTTAAATTGGCCTTGGTTACCTGCAGACTTTGAGGTCCTAAGGTGTAAGAATAATATTTATTTAAAGGTTCATGAACGTTTCAGACGGAAAAGAGGTTATTGGTCTTTGTCTCTCTAAATAAACCAGGGTGTAAGGGAGAAAATGAGTGCTTGAAAAGTGTTAAGTTAGTATTAAGCAAGGCAAGTCCATGCAAATGCCAAGATCTTCAGGAGGGATGTCTCCTCGGGACCTTTTCTCTGGTGCTCCCATCTCCAGCTTGGCAGCAGTCACAGGTAAACGCAGACCCGCACACACACAGAAGCACGTTGGCGCTCAGAGAATAATGCTGCTCAGTAAGTGGGTGTCCCTTCCTTCCCTACCGATTGTAATTTTCCCCCTTCCTTCTCCCCACTTTCTCGTTCTCCACCCTCAGGCAGAGATTCCTTGTAGCCGGGAACCGCAATTCTAGGTCTTGGTTGCGCTGGACCTGCACTGGGTTGGCTGCGCTGGAGTGTCTTGGCCCGGGGACCCAGCGGTGCGGGAGGAGCCGAGGCCCCAGCCGACGTCTTACTCTGTTCTCAGCGACAGTTGCCAGCCGACGGATTGAAGGAGTGAACGTGGGGCAGGTTCGGGGATTACCCGTAGGACTCAGTATCTAGGAGGAGGGCTGCAGCGGCAAGGTCGGGTTTACACGCTGAGACTTCGTTTCCAGGACAAGCTCAGGACCTGGATCACTGGGTGGGACGGAACTTTGCGGGCTAGAGGCGGGGTTATGGACGAACTGGGCGGGGCTTTGCGCGGCGCGGGCGGGGCCCTGCGTGGCGGGAGTGAGCTTGGGACCAGCCGGGATCCGGCTCTGAGTGGAGGGGGGGAGGCGATAGGGACCGGCGGGGGTGGGCCTCTGAGCGGCGAGGCCGGGAGAGATCGAGACCCCAGCGGCCGGGCTGTATGCATTTAGAGTGAACTTGAAACCCACAAGGGACTGGCATGGCTGGGACTCCGCGTGGCGGATCCTGGACAAACAGGGCGGGGCTGTGCGTGTCCGGGAGGGGCGGATCGGGACCGGGAGGGGCGGATCGGGACCGGGAGGGGCGGATCGGGACCGGGAGGGGCGGGGCTCGGCGTAGCGGAGCTTGGACAAGCGGGGGCGGGGCTGTGCGTGGCGGGGCGGGGAGGATCGGGATCGCCAGGGGCGGGGCTCTGCGAGGTGAGTCTTGGACCAACAGGGGCGGGGCTCCGGGTGGAGGGGCGGGGAAGATCGGGACCGGCAGGGGCGGGGCTCTGCGAGACTGGCTTCGGACCCCAGGGGCGGGGCTCTGGGGGGCGGGGCGGGGCGGATCTGGACCGGCAGGGGCGGGGCTCCGTGTGAAGGGGCGGGCCCGGGACCCGAGGTGCGGTGCGGGGCCGGGTCTGGGCGGCAGCCGGGCCGTGGCAGGAAGCCGGAAGCAGCCGCGGCCCCAGCTCGGGAGATATGGCGGGCGTTAAAGGTATATGCGTGGCCCCCCGCTCGCTCCCTGGTCCTGCAGTGGGGTGTCGCCTCCGTCCCGGGCTAAGCCTGGAACTGGGCCTTCAGCGCGTGGGCGGGGAACGGCATCCCCTAGGCCCGCCGCCCTCCCTGCCTCTCGTGGGGGGGGGTAGGCGTTCGCCCTCTCCCTTCGCCCCGCGGGGTGCGGGTGGAATCTCTAGTCTTCACGCTCTTGCCAGGCTCTCCGGGGCCCTCCAGGCGGAGCCAGGAGCAGTGACTTCCTGGGACACCCGGCCTGGCCTGGAGCATCACCTCCCGGCTCCTCAGTTCCTCGGAGCGCCCCCCCGCCCCCACCTCTGCCGAGTTTTAAACAGACTGGGTTTCCACTTCCTGACATGTCCACCCTAACACCTCTCCTCCCTCTTCCTGCAGCTCCGCAGTTTCCCATTTCCTCCAGAGCAGCCATTGTCTCTAGTTTTCTCGGTACCGGGGCTCTTAATCTTCTCAGTACTGAATTTTTCCAGTTAAGCAGAGTTGACTGCAGGCAGCGGAAAGCCCCCAGAAATTCTGTATTTCTCGTAGTTGTGGATTAGGTGGAATGTTATCCCTACTTTCTTTAGTGTTTATGGACGGACAAGAAAGTAGTGTTTGCACAGTACGTTTTTGAATGGGGCAGTTAAAAAAGGGGGTACCAAGAATACCCCTTCCCTTATCTGTATGCCTTTAGAGAAATGGGAGATGGCAGCGGTGGGAGAGGCTATTGGAAGGCTTCCTGTTATTTTCGTGGGAAACCATTCGATTTCTAATGTTTAATTGAGTAGTGTAACTTGTTTCTATGTTGGAATTACTGTCCTCTTTGGAATTTGTACCCAAGGATCTTCCCGGTTAATCAGTATCTGCTATAAACATGTATAGAGAGATTTGCATGCCTGTGTGTGCACTCTGAAATTTGAGTATGTGAGCTCTTAGCGGCAGACACATTTTATCATTATTTCTGGCTGTTATATCAGTTTAGTAAATACGATATACTTGGACGGTGTCCAGTGTGTGACGTGTCCGTTTGAAGCCAATGCGGAACAGGTGACAGTTAGTATCTCAGTACTGCACTGTGCTGTTTAGTCATGCCCCCAAACTATCAAATAATAAAAATGGTTATGTGTGAATGTGGTAGAAATTGTGTTGTAGTGAAAAAGAAGATAGACTATGAAATGGAAAAGGACTAAGGGAAAAAAGCATTTTACAGATAGTTCGCCTTTTATTGAGGGACTACAGTATGCCTATGACTTGGGATAAAAAGATAAAAGTAATTTTGGGGTGACAGAACTGGAAATAATTATATTACTGTTGAAGTGTCCAAGGTGTGCTTAGATAACAGGAGGAGCACAGTGATGGTGTTGTGGATTGAATTGTATCCCTCAAAAGAAGTGGTCATGTTCTAACTCCCCAGTACCTGTGAATGTGACCTTATTTGGGAATAGGATCTTGGCAGATGTTACCAAGTTAAGATGATATTGGATTAGAGTGTGCCCTAATCCAATGAGTGGTGTCCCTGTAAAAAAGGAAATTTGCATGTAGAGACATAGGGAGACCACATGGAAACAGAGGCAAAAACTAGAATGATGCAGGTAGACACCAAGAAGCACCAAAGATTGCCAGTGACCACCAGGAGTTAGGAAAAAGCAAGGAAAGTTTCTCGCCTTAGAACCTTCAGAGGAATCATGGTCCTGCCAACACCTTGATTAGAGACGTCAAGGCTCCAGAACTGTGAGAAAATAAAATCCTCTGGTTTTAAAGGGTCTACTTTGTAGTACATTTATAGCAGCCCCAGGAAACTCACACAAATGGGATTATTTAACCCTGCTCCTGGGAGAAAGAGGACTGCTTTCACTAAAGAGGCAATTTTGCATTGAATCTAAAAAGGTCAGTAAGGTAAAGCCTTACCAAGGATGGAGCAAGGACGGAGTTTTTTCCAAGTGGAGACAACATGTGCCAAACAACTCCGTAGGCTGTGAGAGCAGCTGTAAAGGGGCGATATCATCTCTGTTTATTTGAGAGATCACTGCCTGCCACGTGGAGGATGGATTGCAAGAGTCACAGTTGGAGGCAGGTGTGAGATGGTGAGGGCGGGTTCAAGGGAAGAGGGTGGACATCTCAGTCCTTTAGGGCTGCTCTAACAAAAACCCAGAAACTGGGTGGCATAAACAGCAAACGTTTATTTCTCAGTCCTGGATCCCGAGAAGTCCAAGATCAAGGTGTCAACAGATTCAGGGTCTGGTGAATGCCTGCTTAGTGATTTATAGACCGCTGTATTCTTGCTGTGTCCTCCTCACGTGGTAGAGCAGGCAAGGGAGCTCCGGAGTCCCATCCATGAGGGCCCCTCCTTCATGACCTAATCGCCTCCCGGAAGCTTCAAATACCATGACATTGGCACTAGGATTTAACATGAGTCTGGGGAGGGGATACACTCATTCAGTCTATAGCAGTAGGTTTGAGTGACAACTGGGAGATTGAGTCACCTTGACTTGCTAATTTTCTCTAAGACAGAGTGTGATGATAGTGTTGGTTGGTCTTTCCAGATAGAACTTAAAGGGGCGCCTGGGTGGCTCAGTCGGTTAAGCATCTGCCTTAGGCTCAGGTCACGATCCCAGGGCCCTGGGATGCAGCCCCACATCCGGCTCCTTGCTCAGTGGGGAGCCTGCTTCTCCCTCTCCCTCTGCCTGTCGCTCCCCCTGCTTGTGCTTGTTCTCTCTGTCAAATAAATAAATAAAACCTTTAAAAAAAAAAAAAGAAAGAACTTAAAGGGAAGAAGTGTGTTTGGAAGGAGAGGGTGGGATGTTTCAGTTTAACACATGTTGAATTTGAGGTCCTTGTTGGCTACCCAGGCAGAGAAGTCCAGAGTGGAGTAGGAGGTGCAGGCCTAGTTCTTAGGACCTGTTCTGGGCTGCAACATCAGATGTGGCTTGGCCCTTGTAGTACCAGGGAGCTTTGCGTTGAATGCAGTGTCTCAGTAGAAATGTACAGTGGAAAGAAATGAAATTGGATTCCTGGTTAGATTCAACTTTAAAAGATGGCAGAGGATGTGATTCCTGAAAAAAGAAAAAAAAGAATCAGCTGGAGGTACATTTGTGACCCTTGAGAGATCAGTGTCACAGAACAGAGAGAAGACATCTATGGTTCCTAGCTTTGAAAGGTCTGCAGGAGGGAGTGATGCAGATGGTCAGGCACAGGGAAGGGACAGTGCCAACCAGGAAAAGACCATCTGTCATGAAAAATGTGAAAAGTTAATTTTGTAAGTTTTTCTTTAAAGAGTGACATGTACTACATGGAAAAATATAAAAATTAAAATTGACAGCCCTTCCTTGTCCCCTAATGTCTGTATACTTGCAGATGTTTTTAAAAAGCACCTTGGCATCTTCCTATAAGACAGTCTTCCCAAATCTCTTAAAGTAAAAGGAAACAATCAAAATGTTAATTAAGTTACTGAATAATTTTGAGCATTATGGATTTTTTTAGAAGGAAATTTGGCTAAATTGTGTCCTGTGCTTTGGGTTTATACCTTTAGGAAAGAACGTTGCTAAAAAGAGCAGATACTTCCTCAGGCAACCTTTCTTTATGGAGCACCTCCTTTTGCCAGACACTTCCCGTAGATTATCTCCTTTATTTCCCATCAGCTCCATGATAAGGTGGTACCGTTTATTCCCATTTCACAGGTGAGAAATCAGATGGAGAGAGTTTCAGTTTCTCTCTGAGGTCACACAACCAGTTGGTGGCAGTGTTAAGATTTGAATCCCTGTTGGTGGTGACTCAGAGCTCAAGATTCTTTAACGGCCCTAATGCTCTGTCTCCCACTCAGCAGAGTTACAAGGACAAATACGTTCCTGCCCTCTCAGAGATTAATGTTGAACAAATGCAGGGAATAAATATTTTATTCGGTGGATACTAGTTGGGAATAATTTTCTATGAAGAAAGCAGTCTTCAAATGTTGAAGTACTGTGGTTGGGGGAGGCAAAATGATCAAAGGGTATGTATATTACTGTGAGGCAGTTTGGGATATAATTTAAAGAGAGGATTTTCAGCATTTGGATACTGTCAGAAGAAGATGATCTGCCTCAGGCGGTCGTGAGTTCCCTTCACTGGAGTTGTGCAGACAGGCCGGCTGGCCTCTTGTGATGAAAAGAGGGAATTTGTGTATTAGATAGGGGTTGGGAAATGCTTGAGACCTTTCTCACCTAATGATTTTAAAGTGGTGGGCATAGGCAGTCATTTGCCAGTCAAATGTGACATCAGCTAATGAAATAGGTAAATCACTATCTTTGCTTAAATTGGGAACCTTTTAATTCTTTCTTTAATTGAATGTTTTCATTGAGATATAAATCACAGGCCGTAAAATTAACCCTTTTAAAGTGTAAAATTGGGGGTGCCTGGGTGGTTCAGTTGGTTAAGCGTCTGCCTTCTGCTCAGGTCATAACCCCAGGGTCCTGGGCTTGAGCCCCACGTCGTCCTCGGGCTCTCTGCTCAGCGGGGAGCCTGTTTCTCCCTCTCCCTCTGCTGCTCCCCCTGCTTGTGCTCTCTCTGTCAAATAAATAAATAAAATCTTAAAAAAAAAAAAGTGTAAAATTCTGGGGTTTTTAGTATATTCACAAGGTTGTGCAACCATCACTACTAGTTAATTCCAGAACATTTCATCACCTGCAGAAGAAACTCCATACCCATTAGTAAGCACTCCCCACTCCTCCCCTCCTCCCCTAGCCCCTGGCAACCACTGATCGGGAATCTTTAACTCTTGGTTTTATTTTTCACAGCTCTCGTGGCATTATCCTTCAGTGGAGCTATTGGGCTGACTTTTCTCATGCTGGGATGTGCCTTAGAGGATTATGGGTAAGTTATCATCTCAGAAAGAACTATTCCTGTTTTTGTACTTTCGTCACCGTTAGTATGAGTGTTAGCAAGTTTGGTCAGTGTAGCACCAAGTGAAGTCCAGGTCCCTTCACGGGTCAGTTGTATCTGTACAGAGAGAAAAGCTCTTTTTAAACTTGATGTATTCATTTAGTAAGCACTGACTGAGCACCTACTCTGGACCAGCTGGGGATACAAGAATGAAGAGACACAATCCTGTCCTTAAGGAGCTCACAGTTGTTGTGCCTGAGAGGCAGGCAGGCAGGCAGCAATCCAGTTGATCTGTAGTGGAGTTGAGTGCAAAGGACACTGAGCGCTTTGAGAAAGTGTATTTGAGTCTCCCTGGGAGAGTCAGGGAGAGCTGCAGAGAAGCAGTGCTCTTTAAGCCGAGACGTGGTGCCTGCATAAGAGTTTGTGGGGCTGATGTGTTAGGGGAAGGCATTCCAGGCAGAGGGAACATTCAACAAAATTTCTTTATTCAGCAGCTGTTGGTCGAGTGCTTACCATGTAGCAGCCACCGTTACGGGAACGGAGGATTAAGGGCTGAGAGAACCAAGGCCCTGCTCTCTTAGAGTGTGTATTTCAGTGGGGGAGACAGACAATAAACGGATTCAAAAATGTCCATTCTATCAGTGGCAGAAATGTTATGAAGACTAAAGGATAAAGGGCACAGAGGCCTGGGAGAGAGTGGTCAGGGCAGGCCTCTCGGAGAGGGTACCATGTGAGCAGAAATGTAAAGGAAATAAGGAAGCAGGCCATGCGGATAACTGGGGAAGGAGGACTTTGGGCAGTAGGGAAGTCCTACGCTGAGGCTCACAGACATGAGAGCATATAGACTGTTGAGGAAACCACATGTGGTTCATTATGGTAGAGCATAGAGTGTAGCTGGGGTGGGCAGAAGAAGGGTTGGTCAAGGATGTGGAGTCAGTCAGCCTTTAGGGTGCTGTATGCCATGTAAAGGAGGTGAGATTTTATACTTCAGGCAGTAGGAGCTGGAGAAGTATCTCGAGAATAGGTTTAGAGGGTGAGGGGGTTTACGTTTCAATCTGGCCCAAGTGTGAGTGTGGGTAGCAAGGTGCTGAGAGTGCAGTCAGGGTGAGTAGCAGGGCACTGCTGTCATAAGTCAGGCAGAATGTAGGGCCATGGCAGTAGCAGTGGGAAGAAAGGAAGGAGAGAAATCCAGGTTGGCAGAACTAACAGGTTTTGTTAACTGATGTCAGGGTTCAGCAAGGGGAAAGGGTGTGGGGTTGCCTCCCAGGTGATTGGCGTGAGCAACTAACTGCACAGAAGATGATGGAACTAACTTAAACCAACTGGATCAAGTCAGTAGGATATTGATGAGTTCAAATCTCTCACCCCAGGGGCGCCTGGGTGGCTCAGTCGGTTGAGAAATTAGTTTTGTATCTTAACGATGATAACCCGGGATTATCGTCTACATTAGGAGTCAGCAAACTGGCGCACAGGCCAAACATGGCCTGATGCCTATTTTTGTAATTAACATTTTATCAGAACTCAGCGACGCTCATTTATGTACTATTTTTGGCTACTTTTCTACTACAGGGACAGACTCAACTACTCTACTACAGAGTAGTTGAGAGAGAGAGCTTGCAGCTTGTAAAGTCCAAAATATTTACTCTTTGATCTTTGCAGAAGAAGTTTGCCAATCTCTGGCCTCCATGTTTTCTGAAGAGTTAACATTTAATATTTAAATTTTGTGTATAAACAAGGTTGCTTCTATATTAACAGTTCTTGTAGTTGAATATTGATGGCTTACTGTGAATGGGAACTTAGTCTCCTACGTTGTTTTACAGAAAACTCTCACTGTGTTCTAGGAAGAATTAAGAGCTCCTGGCTGTGGGCATGTCAGGTCCCAGCTGGATCTATTCCAGACTTCTCCTCTCTGTATCTCCATTTCCTCACTGGTAAAATAAGGACTTTGAACTAGAGAATCTCTAAAGGCCCTTCACCGATACTGTTTGGTGATTCTTGAAACACACAAAAATCCCTGTAATTTGAAATCAGGAGTTAAAATTCAGTGTTTACATCCTGAGTCCTCTTGATGAAGGTTCCTTTCCCTTCTTGCTTTCTGGTTACTATCCTGCACTCCTAATCTGTGGCTGAAAGAAGCTTTCATCACAGTGTAGCTTTACCACAACCTCTGCTTAGAGGTGCCGGCTCTCAGGGTGGGTCTCCATCGTGGTGCTATGTATTTCTGGGATGTGGCTATCTAAACGTGAGTAGAGACTGTGCTTTTTTTCACTTAAGGAATGAAGCATAATAAACATCTACCTGATGGGGAAACATATTTTTGAAGTAGTTATAGAGAAAATGTAATTGAAAAGCAGATGGCAATTTTTAGAATAATGCAAAACATTACAGTATTATAGTTGCCTCTTACAGTAAAGGCTATCTAAAATTTTTGCTAGTAAGCATATTTATTTTTATAACTTTCATACTTAAAAGTCATTTTGTTTATTCAGTTAAGTATTAATGGAATACCTCATTCTAGGCCATGGAGATAAATGGTGATTGATTAAGACAAATTAGATTCTTGTTCTCATAACAAGGAAATATCAAATAGGGATAAGTGTGTGCAAAAAGTTAAGAGGGCAATGTACTTAAGGGTAACTTGAAGTATTTAAAATGGATGGTCAGTTTTATTTCACATAACATGATATCCTCTGTGTTCATCCATGTCATCACAAATGCAAGATCTCATTCTTTTTTATGGCTGAGTAATATTCGTGTGTGTGTGTGTGTATGTATCTCCCATATCTTCTTTATCTCTTCATCTGTTGATGGACTTTTGGGTTACTTCTGTATCCTGGCTATTATAAATAATGCTGCAGTGAACATAGATATGCATATGTCTTTTTCAAATTAGTGTTTTTTTGTTTTCTTTGGGTAGATACCCAGTAGTGGAATTACTGGATCATCTGGTAACTCTGATTTTTTTTTTTTGAGGAACCTCCATACTGTTTTTCACAGTGGTCGCACCAATTTGCATTCCTATCAGCAGTGCACAAGGGTTCCCTTTTCTCCACATTCTTGCCAATACTTGTTTTATTTTGTCTTTTTGATACTAGCCATTCCGACAGGTGTAAGATAGTATCTCATTGTGGTTTTGATTTGCATTTCCCTGATGTTGAGTGATGGTTGAGCATCTTTTCATGTGTCTGTTGGCCATCTGTATTTCTTCTTTGGAAAAATATCTGTTCAGGTCTCTGCCCTTCTTAAATTGGATTACTTGGGGGTTTTTTTGGTGTTGAATTGTATAAGTTCTTTATATATTTAGGATATTAACATCTTACTGGATATATCATTTGCAAATATCTTCTCCCATTCAGTAGGTTACCTTTTCGTTTTATTAATGGTTTCCTTCACTGTGCAAAAGCTTTTTATTTTAATGTAGTCCCAGTAGTTTAATTTTGCTTTTGTTTCCCTTGCCTGTGGAGACATATCTAGGAAAATGTTACTAAGGCTGATGTCAGAGATTATTGCCTGTGTTTTCTTCTAGGAGTTTTATGGTTTCAGATGTCACTTTTAGGTCTTTAGTCCATTTTGAGTCTGTTTTTATATATGATGTAAGAAAGTGGTCCAGTTTCATTCATTTGCATGTAGCTATTCAGGTTTCCTACCACCATTTATTGAGGAGAACAAACTGATGGTTGGTTTGGGAGGTGGAGGGATGGGCAGAATGGGTGAAGGGCAGTGAGAGATGCAGGCTTCCAGTTATGGAATGAATAAGTCACGGGGTTAAAAGGCACATAAAAGGCACAGCATAGGATATAGAGTCAGTGGCATCATAATAGTGATCTATGGAGACAGGTGGTAGCTACACTTGTGAACATAGCATAATGTATAGACTTGTTGAATCACTGTGTTGTACACCTGAAAACTAATGTAACATTGTGTGTCAACTATACTTCAATAAAAAATGATAATAATAAATAAATAAAATTAAATGGTTAGGGAGAGCCACTTGTAGAAGGAGACCTCTCAATTTAGATTACATAAGAAGGAGCCAGACAATGCGAAGAGCAGGAGGGGAGCATTCCAAGCAGAGGGCATGGCTAGTGCAGAAGCCTTAAGACAGGGATGAGCTCAGAGTGTTCAAGGAACAGAAAAAAGGCTGGTGTGGCTATTGAGTGGATGAAGAGAAGATGGCGCAAAATGAATGGATCATACAAAGCTTCGTAGGCCAGGGCAAGGAATCTGGGTTTTTCTAAGCCACTGAAGGGTTTCCAACATGCATATACTCAAAAGACCTCTACTGAATTAGCATGTTCAAAGCACTGTACTGTGTTCTGTAGGGAAAGCAAAGATAACTAGGTGAAGTCATCTTCACTAAGTGAAGATTCTGTCTTTAAGAAATTACAGCTCAGGGGGTGCCTGGGTGGCTCAGTCCTGGAATCCTGCTCAGCGGGGAGCCTGCTTCTCCCTCTGCCTGCAGCTCCCCCTGCTTGTGCTCTCTCTCTGTCAAATAAATAAATAAAATCTTAAAAAAAATATTTACAGCTCACTAATAACAGAAAACAATAAAGATTCTAGATTACACATTGTGTAGTTGGTTTTTTTTTTTAAACACCATGTAAACTATCTACATATTAACGGACTAGTAATTTTTAATCATTACATCTTATCTGTTCCTGGTATAAATCATCTCATGTACGAGTATTGACAACTAAATGAATGATTGTTTGAGCTAGACATTGAAGATGCTTCTGACTTTGAAATGGCAGCGTGTCTTTAAAATGTAACCATAACTTCTCTTTCTGTGTTTCTTCTGGGTCCACCCGACAGCGTTTACTGGCCCTTGTTTGTCCTGATATTTCATGTCATCTCTCCCATCCCCCATTTCATTGCCAAAAGAGCAACTTATGACTCCGACGCCACAAGTAGTGCCTGCCGGGAGCTGGCGTATTTTTTCACTACTGGAATTGTTGTCTCTGCCTTTGGATTTCCTGTTATTCTTGCCCGTGTGTCTGTGGTAAGTTTTGTCTTCTATTGTTTTGCCCAGTTGTTGCTGAGTTTACTTCAGAGGCCTGTGTCCAGAACATCGATTTCATTTCCAGTGCTTAGGCTTAATACTCAAATCCAGACGTGTTTTTAGTTTCTCTCTTCCATTGTAGATCTCCCTCTCAGTGTCTTGGCCATGTTTTCCGAATGCTCTCTTTGTTTCTCTCACAACTTTTAGCCAGACCATGTGATTTCTTGCTTTTTCGACTTTAAGCTATTTTCTGGAATTGTACTTAAATCCTTGCCTCTTAGGGCAATCCAGGGAGACTGTGATAGCAGTGCTCTTCTGGTTCCAAAGTGAGCATCACATCACATTCTTCTGCAAATAGGATCATGGACACAATTTTCAACCCAATACATTTGGCATATTTTGAGGGACTACTACATGGCCTCTAGAAGATACAGTGAATAAGATGCCATCTTCACAGCTAATATAAAATTTTTCTTTTTGTCTCCAAAACACACGTTGTGGGTATAATTTATTCACTTCTTTGACATTCACTGTCTTTCGTCCTACTTGCTTTTATTTCCCCTCACTACATACTGTTTCAATTTCATGAAACTCTTATTTGGGGCATTGGGTATCTTACTTGGGGCATTGAATCTTTGGAACATCTGCTATTTGTAAGATACCAGGAATAAGAGCTAGATACTGTCTCTGTTCCAGAGAGCACAGAAACTAGCCTGATGGGTAAGTACACTATAAATGTATTATGTGTGGTAATTGAAACATGATCACAGCACCATAGGAGCACCAGGAAGAGAGAAATTCCAACTGGCATTTGATGTAGGCCTCTAAGGATAAATAAGGTTTTGATTAAAGTAGGGAAGCCTGTTATATGGAATGGCACCCAAGTGTGAAAAGGCAATATGTGGTATAAAGAACAGTTCAGTATGATGGAGCCAAAAGGATGTGGTTGAGATCGAGGCTAGAAAGGCTGGTGAAGCCCAGTTGGGCAGGCTCTTGAATGCCATGCCAGTCTGAACTCTATCTAGATAATGGAGAAGCACTGAAGGTATTTGAATGCAAAATCGTCACGACCTTGTTCTTCTTGTGCCTTAGAATAGTGCTTCTTATGTTTGGCTGTAAGGATTTCTGTTTTATGCATCATGTTTTTTGAAGAACCCCTTTCATTGAGGTTTTCTTTCTACTGGTTAAATTAAAACAAAAAATGTCCACCAAAGGGTACTCTCATCCCCCCCTGTGCCTCTGTGGAACCATCTGCCAAGCTGGAAAGCTGTTTTCATTGGTATGCAGATTATTATTTAAAGCTTAAAAAAGAAACAGACCAATCCATAACTCTCCAATTCCTATTTTTCTGAAAGAAGGCAATGGGTATAGAACTTTCAGTACCCAATATTATAATTGGACCCTTTATATTCTGGCTGCTTGTATTTTACTTAAGGCAATCATTGTCTACTAAAAACAAGTCGAGAAATATGTCTAATGGGGAAAATGATAAGGATGATACAGACTTAATTATCAAGCCTCACGAGGTAATTAGGCTAATTACTGAATAGTTCACTGTCTCCCTCCTATTACATTATTAAGCCTTTTTAGCAGTTTTATGTAATATTTCATTGGATGATTCTAATGCAGAAAATAACAGAGACTTTCAAAGAGTTTAATATGAAGAAAGTAAAGATTTAATCCTCTTTTCTTGTGTTTCAGATCAAATGGGGAGCCTGTGGCCTTGTGCTGGCAGGCAACGCAGTCATTTTCCTTACAATTCAAGGTTTTTTCCTTGTATTTGGAAGAGGAGATGATTTTAGCTGGGAGCAGTGGTAGCACATTATTCTGATAAAATGCATTTTATTTCTTAGAAGTCATACTATATGTATTTGCGTGCACATGTGGCCTTTTATTATGAAATTTCATATGCTATTTTTTTTTATACCTTTATATCCTATTCATTGTAAGAAGGACTACATGAGAAAAAGATTAGTTTTATTTCCAGCCAACAGACCTCTCCATTTTCTCAAGTTGAATTATGTTACTTGTTTGGCTGTTCATATACTAATGGTGCTCTCAGAAAACACATGAACACAGTCTTGTAGATAGCTGCTCATTCGTGCGATGCACCTTTTGTCCGGGGATGTGCCTGGGTAGGCAGGTAACACTGGAGCGAGTCTCCGTTCTGCCCAGGACTTCCAAGATGTACTTGTGGCCCAGAGAGACGGAGGTGGCTCCCTCTTTGTGTTGTAGATAAATCCTTGCTTCTCAGAGTGTGGTCCGTACAGCAGTGGCCTCTCCCAGGAGCCAATACGTCCGGAATCAGAGGCCCTACCAGGGACCCAGCGCATTTTGGATGAGATCCCAAATGAATTATATGTACATGCAAGTGTGATAAGTGCCGTCATAGAGGAATACTTAATCACATCTAGCATCCTTGTCTTCCTTTTGGCTGAACCACTTAACCTCTCTGGGCATTAAGCGGCTCATTTGTAAAAATTGTTTTCCGAGTCTCTTTGGTATTTGTGAAACGTCCAAACCGATAATCTCGTTCCTCACGTTTGTGGAACTATTCTCACACTGTCTGAAAGGCAGTGGCTGTTTGCACAGTGCTGGGGGAACAGAATCACCCCAGAGCCCCACTGGCATGCACCGAGGGAGACCAGGCTGGAGCCAGTCCCTGCTTTAGCAGGGTGGGCAAGAGCAAACAGGTAATACTGTTTCATTTCCCTTTATAATCACACACTTCTCCCCAGCTCCTTCTCTATGATGCTGTCCACCTCCACCCTCCCAAACACACATACCCCGAGGTTCCGACTTGCCCTTACTTCCTCACGGCTCTGCCTCTTGCTCTCTATAGAGCCATGGAGCCAAGTAAGCAGGCAGAGGGTGAGCTGCTTAATTTTCTTCCCATGTTGATGTACTTACTGTCTTTCATGCCTTGTAGGTCTATAAAACATCTTATGCCACTTTTAAATGAATCATTGGGAATACCTGTCACGCTGGCTCCTCTAAGCAGTTTTTCTAGTTCAACTTTTTGTCTAAGGTCTGTTGAGAAAGGGAAATATGGGAACTAGAACCACTTGGTGAGAGTATAATGACTTCAAAGCATTGTGAATGTGTGATAACTGATATACATTGAAAACACTGAAATTTTGAAGTTCGGAATCTGAGGAATTAGTATACATTTTCACATTCTGGAGTGATCTGGGACCAGGAGAAGAGAATGGTGATACCTAAAAGGACAGTGTGCAGTTATATTTTGGCCTTGTGCATGATCTTATGTTTTCAAAGTTCTATGTACATACAGAATTGTTGATGTTACTTCCAATATTTATACTAGAAAAATTATATAGACACTTTATAATTTTAATCAGCATTTTTAATAACACTTGCACTTATTTTATTGTAATAAATTTCTCTTTTAACACAAAAGAAAGTTTAATTTCAAAAGTCTTTATTCTCATGTAGCCTTGCTTAAAAGATAAAGTGAGAATCTCTTGGTGTTCGGAAATGGGCAGTTTGAGCAATAGATTATTGTTCAGTTATAGCAATAAATTTTAAGATACCATTTTGAGTGTCTTGTTGGCTTGTGATAATATTTCTTTTCCTAAAATGGAAATAGTGTTTAATTTATATTCCCCTTTTGCAAAAGTATCTTTGTTACTTATACATATTTCAAATAACCAAGGTAGCCTTAATATGTAGCCTTAAAGCATTGCCTCTTGATTGTATTTCCAGAATGATATAAAGTACTTGAATAGAGAATATTTGTAACTCTTCCCTAATAATGGAATGGGTTTATTGAAGTGATAGATTGTGAAGTGATAGATTGTAGAATTTGCTCTGTGTTTAAAAACGAACATTTATTCTTAGTGCTTAAGTGTCAATTAAGTAATAAATGTCGATAGGAAGTATTACCACGTATGAATGTACAATACAAAAGTTTCCTTTTGATGACACAAATGTTGGGCATTTTTTTTCCTTATAAAAGGTTCGTTTTTTTTCTGTATACCTTAGAAAATATTTTGGAGATTCAGAGCACATTGATTACATTCTAAAACTGAGACTACACATAAAGAATTGTTCACAAGTAAGTAATCTTGTGAAGGGATTCTCTGTCATGTGAAGGGATTCTCTGTCATTTCCAGACAACTGGCTTACAGGTGGACTTTGAAACACTTTGCCACAGAAAGTGGGAGATTGGTGATTGAGTTCCCAGGCCAAGCCTTCTGAGGCAGGCTAACCCCTCCTGTCTTTGACTTCTAATGCTCAGGGTACCTGCCTGAGTTTTGGGGCTCGGAAGCAGGGTAGCATGAACAGGGTGGAGAAAGCAAAGTGTAAATTTCCACCTCTTTTCCTAAGAACAAAGGTCTTTCTTCCATTTTTGCAGCACTTCCCATCCCCTAATGCCCTTGGGGTCCAGGTACTTTCCTCTGAGTTTTGCTGGCCTCCTCTTCTGGTGCGGGGCCTTCCTCCCAGCCTGCCCCACCTGCTGGCTTCCTCCTATGCCCAGATCACCCACCTCTCTGCTCCTACCAGTCAGTTGTCTTAGTATGGCTAATACGGTGCGGTGCTGGTCAGACTCCTTCCCAGAAAGAAAGGCTGACTTGTGATCATCTCTTCCCTCCCCTGGAACTCTTACCAGTGCTGTGGGCACTTCCCAAGCCCTGCTGCAGCTTCATTTTACAAGGGAGTGCCTTGGAACCCAGTGGCTCACTCACAGCAAATGGCAGAATTTCAAAGTAGAAAAAGCATTCCAGCAGTTTATAGGAGGGAAATAATATTTGGGTTAGGGGCAACCCTCTCATCTCTCTCACCCCTTACTCCGGGTGAGTTCTCAGCTGGTTGTACTTTTCATGGTTGTTTCTTTTCCTCCACTTACAAACCCACAGATTTTTCTTACAGTCCTCAAGAAATCTTTGCCTCTGAGGTATTCCCTTGATGAAGACCCTTCTAGAAGCTGAAACGTTTCATTAAGTTAATAACATTCCTTATGCTCTCAGGGAAATGCTTAGGAGACATCACAAAAATGTGCCCTTTTCCAAGTTGGCAAAAAATTCAGATTTTGCACCATAATTTAACAAGATTTTTATGAGGATGCTAGCATTTTCCAAGCATCGTAATTAGTTCACAACTGGGAACTGTTATTTCTGTAAATGGATGTAAGTTTTGTGTTTTAAATTTTTTTCCCCATGCTGCCTCATGAAATACCTTATTTGCAAAAATCCCAGTGTATAATAGCTCATGAATTACAACCTGCTTTGTGGTGGCCGTGCTTCTGGAACAGAGCCAGTGAAACGTGTGTAACCCCGAATGTGATGTGAAAGATCTCCACGACTGCTTTAGAAGGAATTATATGTGTATGATGAGGATGATTACTTTTTAAATAAAACGTGTCATTTATACTTTAATAAAGACCTTTATGTACATTATTAAACTAAAATGTTTAATTTTAGCAGATTAATTTTCCCAGTATTTTGTTTGGATAATCTTAACGTGACTGTGACCAGTTTTGAGCCTATACTTAACTGTGGTTGAAGAGAAGCAGTCCAGAGATATGTGTAAACTGGAAGGAATCCAGTTCCTAATTACAGCTTTGCTGTGGCTAACGCTCCCGTGGGTGGAGGTGGGTGTGGGGCCATGGTTCATCAATAATGGCTGTATTGGAAAAGGGAGAAAACTCAACACTTTAAAAAAACTGCTGTACATACTCTAAAGAAAAGTCTTTTTGTGCACTACAGAAGAAAATGAACTGATGTAAAATACTACTTAATGAATAATGTGTCCTCCCTATGCGTGAAACATTTGGGGAAGACCTGATGTCTTACTAGTGGATTTAGGCAGCTAGATTACAAAGAAACTGAGCTAGTTATTTCTTTGTGTTGCCCAACTAAGTGTAAAGTCAAAGTTTTAGTAGAAATTTAATAATACAACATAACCATAAAGAAAAAAACAGTTCCCAAGGAAACTTCTCTGGTCCAACGGTTTGTACATATGCATTTTCATGTAGAAAGCACACTGGACGCGTTGAGAATCCCTCTGGGGCTGAGAATGGATATGCCTGGAGAAGTCATACATCTGATACTTAAACAGCATCTCCTGTTTTGAGATTTAAAACATCATCCACGACAACAACAACAGCAGCAAACTTTCCTATTTTGTTTTTTGTTAGCTACATGTGAATAAAATGTCTTATCCAGTCATTATAATTGGGAAGTTATTTTCTCCTTTGTGCTTCCTAAAGTGGCTCTTACAAATTTCCACTGAAGTTATCTGTTTCTTGTTTTTGCAGAAGTAGAAAACAAATGTCTGTTTTTTGTTTGTTTTTTTTTAAGAATTAAAGTTGGTGAAGAATTTAAATTTCAGGACTTTACCTACATTTTTAAAAAGTGTAAATTTGGGAGCGCCTGGGTGGCTCAGTTGGTTGAGTGACTTCCTTCGGCTCAGGTCATGATCCTGAGTCCCGGGATTGAGTCCCACATCGGGCTCCCTGCTCAGCAGGGAGTCTGCTTCTCCCTCTGACCCTCTTCCCTCTCATGCTATCTCTCATTCTCTCTCTCTCTCTCTCTCTCTCTCAAATAAATAAAATCTTTAAAAAAAAAAAAAAAGTAACTTTGGGCGCCTGGGTGGCTCAGTTGGTTAAGCAACTGCCTTCGGCTCAGGTCATGATCCTGGAGTCCCGGGATCGAGTCCCGCATTGGGCTCCCTGCTCAGCAGGGAGTCTGCTTCTCCCTCTGACCCTCCTCCCTCTCATGCTCTCTGTCTCTCATTCTCTCTCTCACAAATAAATAAAATCTTAAAAAAAAAAATTTAAAAAGTTAACTTTGTCGAAAATGAATTCCAATTCTGTTTAATTTCCTCTAGTCGCCAGGCATAGTGCAAAATTACTAGATGGTCATTTTGAAACAATTATTCATGTTCAATATTGGGCATGTAGACAAAGTGGTCCTAATCTTAAGATTGCACATTTGGAGAAGAACATACTCGAAGTCTGCACAGTATCTCTTTATTGTTGATCTCATAATCACAACTGGAAAATATGGTAGGGAAGGGGGGTAAATAGTATGTGGGGCTTTGCAATGTTAGATAGGGTAGCATGTCTTGTAGGCTTCCTCTTACAGAAGCCATTTGAGTTCAGGCCCAAAAGAGGTGAGAAAGAGAGCAATGTAGATTTCAGAGGACAAATCAATCTTTGTACACATCCTTAAGTTAGTTCTTTCAGATGCTTTTCCAGAAGAGCAAAGGTGGGTTGAAGACTATACGCATTTTTTTGTGGTACCAAATCATCTTAATTAGCAATTTCTGAGAATACTGTCCCCCCACCAAAATACGTGTT